TGTCGGTAGTAGTGTCCTCTCCAGCGCCGCGGAGCCACTGACAGAAGATGATGACCCGAGGTTACTCCTGTGAAACTGACATCGTAATTAAACCCAGGGAAGAGCAGGCGCCCTCACACGCCTCTTGCAGGAAAGCTCCCAGAGTGTCCTACAAGCATAGCATGTTACGTCATGTACGAGCATCGAGAATCAAAAACTGTAAGCTTTTCAAAAAACACTGACAGGATTTTTTCCAACCTAATGTGTACATGGCAGCGGCACTGCGTGTCGGCTTGTCTTCGGAGTCGTATACTACAGTGTCGTGACTGGGAAGTAACTGCACACCTGCTCAGAGAGTATCCAAGCACAGAGAGGGAGAGAGAAAGAAAGAAAGAAAGAAAAAAAGGGAAAGAGGGCTGGTGCCGCTTGAAGATACTACTAACGGTGATCTTATAAGAAACAGATGGGCGGAGCCAGAGAACTATAGTTGTTATAGTCTCCAGTGATGCTACCACTCTTACCTCTCTTGCGAAATGCTGGTAATGGCACCATGGCAGCACTACTGTGTTGCAGTATAGTTTGCGACGAAGTTTGCTATTAGAACTTCACCCGTTTCACTGTAAGACGGGCTTGTCCGGTGGGCGACATTTTTCTGCTCAGTGCTTAAAGCTGACCCGTTATCTGCGTTCTATGCCATCCTCATTCCCTCATCTATCGTCTCAGGACAAGAGGCTCAACATTAATTTTGGTGTATACAGTGATTCTCCCCCATATTCTCAGTTTGGATTGTTTAGTGCTATTCTGCGCGTGCCTGTGCATCTTTTTCTTCTTTCCCGTCGCCGCCTGTATGTTGATAACTTTTATTTATATGTGTTAATATGGTATCTATGTGACTCGGAGCTGGTGTAGTGACAAATGGCGCGCTTACCACACGCGCGGTCCTGGTTCAAATCCCGGGTCGACTCCCGCCCAGGCCAACCAAGCCTTCTACCCTCCGGGGACGGTGAATTGGTACCAGATTCGTCTGGGAGGATAAAACACTGACTTGTACATCGGCTGGCCCCCGCAAGTCATTGTATAGGCCAATAACCCACTACGATTCTGAATGGAAGTAGAATGCGCCGCATCCCATAAAGGGATTGATCGAGGGCGAACACTTTATCATTTATCCTTTGATATGGTACCGTATGACGATCTGCAACACCTGCTGTCCAGGACTAGATCATAGATAGGCTCCTGCTCAATCCAACTAAGTTTTTTTATCCAAGCCGGTAAATTTGTACGTGGTCGTTTCGCGTAAGCTGGTTTGCGCAAGTGATTGTATGAGTCACATTGCACCTACGAGGGTTCATAGAGGTAGAATGCGTACTGCATCTCGAGAACGTTGACAGCTTCCACTATATTATCCTCTGACAATATGGACTGTTGAACTGTTCAGGTTCTAAAGAAAGCGCTGACGAATTCGGCATCTAAAGTGAGAAAGATGTATGATTCGAAGCAGGACAAATTTTTGGACCACGTAATGGTTACTTGCTGGAGAGAATCGGCAATTCTTGTTCTACATCAACGGTTTCTAATCTGAAAACATTTGAAAGTTTTCAATCCTTTGCATTCTCAACAATTTTAGTTGAATTGCTTAGCGTTCCTGAACTCCTCTTCTTTGGCAGTGAGGCAATTATTGGTTTTTGTAATCAAAGGTCGTGCGATTTTCGAGGATTCTCACGGCAGAACAGCTCTTGCCGAAATCTTCTTGTTTTTCTCCTTCCAGTACCATCTCAAGCCTCCAGTTCTAGTGCGGTCCTAAATGAAGGGGAACCGAACCACTAGTTTGATGCAGACTTGTGGTTCTGCACACATACTGGGCCTGAGGAAGTTTTGTGTGCGGTCAGGAACAGGTATATACTAGTGTTTTTTCGCATGCCCCCCTAACATTGTGGTTGTGACATTTTCTTTTTTGCGTAATCGATTCATTGACCGAGAAATCGCTGTAATTCAGCTGTGTGTGAGAGTAGTAAAGGGTGAAAGAAATGCGTTGAACCAGCCGGTGGTTCAAACAAAAGCGTCACGCCGTCCCGTCTACTGATGCAGGTCATCCATCAACAATTGGAAAGTCGCTCATGTGAAGATCGTCGGAATCGTTAACGTCCTCAATTGTTGACCTCGACTTTGGCGAGCAGCGATTTTCCCTCCATTCATGCCTTCCGCAAAAGCTTTCATGCGTACTTTTTGACATACCTCTTGAAACATGTTGCTGTTCGGTCATCGAACCCGTCTTCAGAGTCGCCTGCTGACTTCATTTGATCCTTAGTGCTCTCTTTCTAACGTCGTATAAATTTGGAAAGAGTACATCTTCCAACACCCCCAATTTTCGAATTACTTTATGAGCTGTTTCCTTCACTAAGACTGTGGTCCCAGTGCCTTTTCTCTAGTTTCTTTTGCTAGTTCTTGGTGTTTTACACTTCCCATATTAATGAGACTTGATTATTATAAAGTGTGTAAATGAAGCTCCTACTATGTTGCTTCATAGGAATTCACAGGTCTCCACAGGAGTGCTTCAGCAGTGTCCCTGGCAACCAGCAAACTTCCTCCTCAAAGCCGAAGTGCTCTTGCATTTCCGTTAGGTACATGACCACCTTGCTCTTCTCTCTAGCGCCACCTTTTTTCAGTGTTTCTGAGGGAACAAACAGTTCGTGGTGTGTTAGTTGCGGCTTTTATGTGACTGCCATCTATTTATCGTAAAACATTTTTTGAGCCGACGTTTCCAAATTGGGCCAGCCACCAGGTTGCTGACGTCTTTAATGCGCTCTGAAATCTTACTTCTTGCCCTTTTGGAATGAGCGTTTTTACTTATTAGCGTGTCCCAAGGGCCCAATTAATGAGCTTTCATCTGGGAAAGCGAACCAGCCCTCAGTAGAAGGGAGTCTCCTATGGAGTAGCGGGCTGAGGGCTCCTTTTTAATGATGGGATAGGAATCGGGGACTACCGATCGTGTCTTTATTAGGTAACCCTTTGCGTGTTCTTGATTTTGAGAAGTGACTCTTTTTTAAAACCAGTTCTGTGAGACGCTGGATGGATGTAGAATGCTCATTTTACCATTTGATATTCCTAGCCCTCATTCGAGGTCAGATCCGCCGACGCTTTGATGCAGGTACCGATGAAGGACCAGGAGTTATATAGCTTTTTTCGGGGTGCTGTTGCCGTATTGGTCAATGCTAACCAGATCTTGTCGCCCGGGTGAAGCCGAGAAAGACTCACATAATTTTTTTTTGTTTGCGACATTATTCCCATCAACCAACTACTCTCCAATAAACCAGAAATTTATCACAGTAGATGACACGTTTTTTCGTATTTAGCGTGAGAACTCTCAAAATATTGCGCGCCCCTCTCCCTTTCATGCTTTGAGCACATTTCAGCTCTTTACTCTCCTCATATTAGGTTGTCCGGAAAGTTCTCAGCGTTT